CTAAAATATAGTTATATAAGAAAGCTATATAAATTTGCACCTAATTTTGGCTTTTAAAAATGGAAAACACAATTTTTGGTTGTTATAGTTTCATCAGATTTTGTTCTTAGTCCCTGTAATTTTTTTCAAATATTTTCAATCTCTTTAATTAAAAAATATTAGGTGACATTTGTTTTTTAGATCCTTAGCTATAGTTTCTATTTTTTTAATAGTTTTATAGGGCTTAAATATTGAAAAAAATTATATATAACGATAAAAATAAAATTTGATAAATTATAGGAACCAAATATTATGTTTTTCCTTTAAAAATTATCAGAATAGGTGCCAGCAGTTGAGAATTTTAAAGAAAAAAAAGACAAAAAAATGAAAATAAAAATGAAAGCATTAATGCATTATTGTAAGCCCGAGGGCCTAAGTCAAACAATAAAAAAATGACGGAGAACATAATGAAACGTGTGGAAGGAATTATTTGGGTCAAAAGCTATATATGATGATCAGCCTAATTGCATGGCGACATCGTAGTACTTTAATTGAATTGCAAGTCTTTTTCATTAAGGTACGTACGTTTCACACAGACACGTGGTCGATTAGTAAGGCTTTAATCATATTCTTGAAGCCTAGTTAACTTAATTGTTTAATTTTGGTAAAATAAATAAAATCAAGGCCAAGCCTTTGAAGCCAAGCTTTCTGCATCAGTGCTTCAGATTTCGCCAAGCTTGTGTTAATAGCAGCTGGTTTTTTGTGTTCTGATGTGATAAAGCTGTTTCTTTGTTCATTTATGGCTCTCGGGCTTTGCTTCTCCCAGCGACGTGCCTTATTTCTCTCAGGTCGGCCACTGTGTCTTCATCATTGTTCCTTGTGTGCCCAGTGGCTTGGCATGTGAATTAAGATGCTGGAATGTCATTAATACCCTTGGACTTAATTAATAGGAGAAATGACAATTAGAAACCTATAAGAATATTAATATCAATTACAAACCTTAAATTTGAAATTTTAATAACAGACAATCATATTACTTGTAATTAAAAAAAATACAAATAATCAATTAGAAAATTCATAAAATACACTTAGAATTATTTGTAATATTAATTGGTAATTTATGAGAATTAACTGTAAATCTTAATTATTTACTGCCATATACAGGTAAACCACTTAAAAATTTAAAAAAATATATTTAAAAATATTCATAACGTTAATTGAAAATTTACAGAAATCATCCGTTGTGATGACAAGTTGGTCCACTTGTTTTTTTTTTTTTGGTTATCTTTTGTGGCATTAATTGAGAGAATACAAAAGTCCATTATGAATATCTAGTCAATTACAAAAGAATGATTTATTGCAAGTAATAAACATGAGGTTAATTATTTAATTGCAAGATTCAATAATTTTGGATTTGAGCATTGACTATTGACAATGGGGGGGGTTAATTTTTTCCATGCACATGATCTTCTATTAACTATCATTATTAGAAAACATGAAGAAAATAAACTAACAGATCTTTAGAGTTTTTCTCAATTTTAAATTGGATTTGTAGTTTATTTTATTTAAGTTGAGCCTTTATAATTTGATACATTAGATATACTAATTCATGAATGTTGAAATTATTAATGAAAAATTAATTTTTCCAAAACAAAAAACTTTTGAAATAGAAAAACTGATTTAATACTGTTGAGTTTTGACAAAAAAATTGATTTAATAGTTAATAAAACATTTTTAAGTTATAAAGATTTGTAATTAATTCTAAAATTATATACTCTTTTAATAAAGGTATAAAAAGTTCTTAATTTCAATTTTTAAGAAAAACTCAAAGATTTTAACTTTCAGTGATCAACAAACAAATTAAATTATAGGGGGCTCAACTCAATATGAAATTCTACATGAATCTAATTCAAAATTTAGATTTTTTATATAGCTATTTAATGGGTGTTAGATTTAAATATTTTAATTTTAATAAAGAATAGTTCTTCCAAAAACATTTTCTGCATTCATATAAGCCCAAATTCAAGACCTTGTTGTGCTTAAACGAACATAGCCCTCTTCTAATAACCAACACTAATCAGTTAACTTTTGATGATTCAAGGTATTAAAAATTAAACTGCAGTTAAACTGGTCAAGATACTGATTTAAGAATAATGGTCAAAATTAAAGTTAGATGGTAGCCAAACCGATTATAATCAAAATATTTTATTAAAATGGTCAAGGCATTTGGTTTAACGGTTTATTGATTTAATGGAGCGGGTTAACTGGTATTTCCCCATTGTAATCTCACCATCCATGTATAATATTATTCCAAAATAACAAAAACACATACACGTCACACGTAGATGAGGGGTAAAATAGACCCTGAATGAAATAATTAATGGAGTGGTCATATATTATATATACTATATATATACACATACATACTTGCCACAGCCCACAGCTCATGAAGCTGAATGAAGTTTCTTAATTCGCAAACAGTGAATATAGAATAAGTAATAGCATTAATTCCCACCACACTACTCTTCCTCGTGCAACCCCCCTCGCTCACCACCTTTCCCCATCTTTCCCGCGTCAACCCTTCCCTTCATCCCTTCCTTATAAACCCTTACTGTTTGCCTCCATTTTCTAACACACTCTCAAATCATCATCATCATCATTCTGCATCACAGCCCAGCAGTACAAACTCCCACACTCCATCTCTCTAGCTCTCGAATCATCTCTCTCGAGGGCAAAGCCATGGCGTTCTTCAAAGGACTCCTCCTGCTTTTCGTTGCATTGACCATGGTTTTGTCTCTCTCCATCACTCTGAATAATAAACAACCAAGTTCTTTGTCATCATCATCATTTCAGACCAACGATGTTCATGACAGCAACAAAATGGACTTGGCCTTACCTTCCAAGAGGGTGAGCAGGTTCCTGGTGGCGAACAACCCGGTGTCGGTGGCGGCGAGGAACCCTAACGCTGCAGATCACTGCAAGAAGGACAACGAGATCTGCTACTTGTTAGAACCAGGCAAGAATTCGACGTGCTGCAGCAACAAGTGCGTGGACTTGCAATATGACGACAAGAATTGTGGAGCGTGCAAGAACAAGTGTAAGTTCACTCAAACTTGTTGCAGAGGACAATGTGTTGAATTGTCTTTTGATAAGAGACATTGTGGAGCCTGCAACCACAGGTGTGAGCTCGGTGAATTCTGTGTCTATGGCATGTGCAATTATGCCTAGTCTATTATTCTTCATCATGGATTAATTTTAATTATATTGTTCGAGGTTATACATACAATAAAGGGAAGCCAGATTTAATTTGGTGGTTCATTAAATATCTTATATATACACACACACCAAGACATATATATATATACGGTTATTGTTATTGCCATATTTATAATTACGTGCTTTTGCTTTTCTAAAGAACAATAATAATATTATTGGGATTATTATGTATCAAGGATATTGACAGAATTACGGGCCTGTGCTAGTGTGATTCTTTTTTGTTTACCATCAGTTTGGTTTTGTATAATTAAGGCGAGATGTATATTTGTGTTTCATTTTTCATCTGTATTATGTATGTAGAGATTTAATTTGACTCTTGTAAACATGCAATATTCTGATTCAAGTTCGATGATCAGAAGGGCAATTCATGAATAAGGCTCAGTTCTTGGTCGTGTAATGTACGAATTTTAGTTATGAAAAAAAAGAAATATATGAATTTAATTTCTGAAAAGTCAATTCGGGGATTTAATATATGCAAAAGAGTAAGTTATTTTAAATACATAAAATTTAAGAGTTTCACTACTTTTTACGTGCACAAGCAAAAGCCAGATTCGTGGCGGCTGCAATATATTAACATGTTACTGAACAATTAAGTAATCCCGTGACTTAATCGAGAAAAACAGCTAAAGTTATTTTCCTGGGAATGTGCTAATCACAATCACATGCAGCTAGCTACTAGAAAAAAATTGTTCAAAGTTTAATTTTCCTGCAAAAATGGGGTCTCTCACGTGCTTCAGTCATCGATCAGGGAAGACTATATATATATATATATATATATAGCTAGATCGATTTGATCATATATTAACATGAAAAGTATTATTTAGCCCAGTATACAAGAAACTTGTTCGCAAATTTAAGTGTAATTGGCGCGCGCGCGCACTTACTCTCTCTCTCCCTCTAAAGTTTTCTTCTACTGTTCAATAATTACTACTGAATATAAAATGAATTTATGTGTGCGTACTGCGTGGAATGAATTGGATATGTAATTTTCATTGATATAACTATCTGATTATGTCAGATTTTAATATTATTAAGCTCAATTGAACTCATGGATGTATCCCATGTATGTATTGTTTCTACTAGCACAAGTTTAATTCCAGTATTATAGTGATATGATTTATGAATATTACAAATCTAATTTACTAACTATAAATTGAAATATATATATATATATGTATGTATGTATGTATGTATGTATGTATAATTGTTTTGACCAAAGCAATTAGATCCACCAACAGCTCAGAATTAATGCAAGAATAATATTGAAAGTAAATTCCTCACCCCCTTGATTAGAAAAACGACAATTAATGGAAGAGACCAATTTCTTTCTCCTAAAGGAATAGTTTTAAGCTAAATATGTTTTTTTTTCCACAGACAATCTGTGGATTTCGTAATGCTAATTAAATAATAAATTAATTAACTGATACAAGATATAACACTAGCATATTAATGTAATTATATTCCAACAAGTGTTTGAAGGTTAACTAATTAAATAATGTTGTGTATGTGTGTCCATCTATGTTAAATTGATGGACTCTGAAAGTTTGTTTACATTGAACGAGCATTTTCCTATTTACTCCAGTGTACTCTAATACAATAATAATAATTTAGGTAGGAATTTGAAATAAATAATGTCCTAATAATATGAGAAATTAATAATATTAATTTTGAATGTTATAAATCTCATATCGAAAGGTCACATTGGTGTGTGAAGTGTGGCTTATAAGTTAACTGTGCACTCTTGCCCTATAAGGGTACATATTGGGGGTGAGTTTTATTCAAAGGACATATGGTTGTGACATTCCGTTCGTAGAAAGGGCCTCTCATGAAGGAGTTGATCAACCGGTCGAGTGAAACACTGTAGAGCATAAGTAGTCATGGACGTCCCCTCTTGAGGGGTGGTCTATGGTATGAGTTTTACATTGGGAGGCTATATTAGTGAAATATGATTTATAAGTCGGTTGAGTATTCTTTTTTTATGAGGTGCCTTTTGAAGGTAAGTTCTACTCGAAGAACTTGTAGTTGTAATAGTGAATATACTGATTAGGGTTTATAGTTCAAACTCATGCAGTCCCACAATATCTGAAAAATAAAAAATACCCAAATAAATTAAGGTTATACAAATGCTGTGGAAAAGGGCAAAAAAAAAAAAAAAGCTTTTAGTTACAGGAGTAGGCGGAAAGCAAATTCAAAAGATTGCATCTATGGTACACGTGAAGTCAAAATAAGAGGAATAAATGAAAAAAATAATATCTTTTTTTGCCAGCAAAAAAAAAAAAATCAAGTTAGCATAGCAATTTCTTTTCGTTTTGCCATGTAAGACCGCTAAATTTACATGCCACTGGGACTACTTTTTTTATTTCTGAAGTATAAATCGATTGTGTTATCTGAAAGCTAATCAGTGGGCAAACCATGTCAAGCAACTCTTCGTGGAGATTTGATTTGAAAGTCCAGAATTCAAAACTTAAATATCACTCAAAATATAATAATATAATATAAAGATTATCATACCATTCATAAATTATGATGAACGATACACTAATTCATTTAAGAATCTATGTAAACCATAGGTTTAATGGTAATAGAAGAAAGTCATATTGTTCATAAATTATCCCTTCCCTGATTTTTATTATAAGTGTCTTTAAATATGATTCTGTCTAAAATATTAATTTTTTATTTAAATATTATGTTTTATTATTTACTAACCAACTGAACAATTGCCTAATTAACCAAACATTCCCCTCTAATCAGTGAAATTCATTGAGAATAATTTTAAAATTTTAAATTATTGGCTAATTTTAACTTAATTTCTTAATTTATGTAAAGTTATTCCATTAAATCCTTATAGCATAAGAATGGGGAATACTCTCTTCCTTAAAAAATGTAAAACATTTTTTACGTATTGGATATTAAAAAATTTAAAGTATTTTTAGTCTTTCAAAATGTAATTATTATTTTTTTAAAAAAAATTATTAAATAAATCACTTTATATTTATTTTAAGGTCAAACATCCTAATAAATAAAGGTAAATATGAAACAATAGGTTAATTTAAAGATAAATAACTACTTTATTAGGGATAAGCATAAAAAAGAATACAAATAATATAAATCACTTCAAACTTTATGTAAATCTACGATGGTTTTAATTATTGAGCCTTGCATTGTGCTTATAGTAGAGGAAGACCATAGTCTATATTGTCTAAGATATTCAAGCGAAAACTGAAACTGACAAATACAACTTAATTAGGACTTATGTTGGAACAAAAACTAGGATCTATGACTGAAAACTAGCCGGAGCTATTGGGAAGAAAATTGACTATAAATTAGTTATTTACTCGTGTTGCATGGTAGTATATATGATAAATATTAAATACTTTGAATAAAATAAGTGCTTAAAAATCTAGTTAAAGAAAAGGGAAAGTTTAGTGTTAAATAAGCCACCAAAGGATAAAATTAAAATGTAAGAATAAAAAATGAATAGCTTATAACCATAAAGGATGGTTTTAACTTAGCATAACATGTATTACATTATTGATGTTGTGGAGTCTAGATTAAAGAGTGGCTAAAAGATAAATATTAACAGAGAATGTTGCCTTTTTTTTTTTAGTACAAGACTATAGTAAAAACCGTGTAAAAAGATTAAAATCTAGTCATATCAGAAACCATGAGGCTGATACAATCAGGAGGCGGGTTGATAAAGATAAAAATATCAAAATCTTCACAAGGAGTCTTATGAGCCAGGAGGTCAGCAGTTATTTGCTTCCCTATAAACGTGGTCAAAAATAACAGTCCAATCTCTCATAGAGAGATCTTTAATATTTTTGACAATCCAGGAGAGGGGGTAGGAGTCACAACATCCGTTGTTAATGAGTGATGAAGCTTTCAAAGAGTCAGAGTGGACATTAATTTTAGTGAGCTTCTCATTCCAATAGAGTTTAAGGCCTTCTAAAATTGCATATAGCTTGGCTGTAGTGGTGGGGTAATAACCAAGGTTCTTGGAGAATCTTTTGATCCATTTACCCTTGTCATCTCTAATAATGCCTCCATATGAAGCAGCATCATAACTATTGACAAAGCCATCCATATCGAGTCTAACCCAATCAAGTTCAGGAGGACTCCATTTAGCTTCATATCTAGTGCTATTGTCGTTTAATTTGTTGATCTTGGATTAAAGCTTTAGGTCATTTATAATCTGTTGCGTGTTGGAGAAGGCAATGTCATTAGTCAAAAAATTATCTTTAGAATGGATTTTTCTGCATCTGGCTTTCCATATATTCCACCAAGCTTAGCAAATAGTCTTTGCCAGGGGATTTTTCTAATTATTTAACTGCCAGCTTCGTTCCTAGCGTTCTAAGTTTTCCATCCTGCACATTATGAGAGAAGAAAGTGTTAAAATATAAAGGATTTACTAATCTTTTCCAAACCTCTTGGGCTTCTTTACAATCCTGCAAAATATGTATAAAGGAATCAGAAGTGTTACATCCCAGGGGACATGACCGTCGTTGAGTGTAATTGGATTAAAGACTATCCTACGCAGCCTTCCAAAGGAAATATTTAATTTTCTCGTAGGTGGGCCACTTTTAAATCTTGGACGAGATGTTGGATTTATTTTCATTATTTTAGATCTCCACTGCTTTATAGGATGATTTAATGGAGAAGTTTCCATCAAAAGATGCCTTCCAAATAATAGTGTCTTCTTCACCTTATTGAGTAGAAGGTCAGACAAGTGCAATCTGTCTTAACACGTCAAGATGAAGATAGCACTTTAAGAGATCAAAATGCCATCCGCCTATAGTATTGCAGAAGTCTGAGACACGAGCGTGGAGAACATGGTCGGCATTGTGGAAAGCATATTTGACAAGAGGGTCAGGTAGAGGGGACCATTTATCATATTAAAAGGATATTTGATCTCCATTACCTACTTTCCAACTGACCTGAGATATAAACTTATCCTAGACTTTGTATATACTACTCCAAGTAAAAGAATAAGAGCTGAGTTTAATTACCATAGGGATAATGGGTTTATTACATTTATACTTGTCACGCAATACTCATACTCAGAGGCAATTGAGTTTTGAGATAACACCCTAGCAAAGTTTCATGATATAAGCTATATTTTGACTCTTGAGTTTCTTAATGCCAAGTCCACCTTCCTTTTTATCAGAAATAATACGGTCCTAAGAGAGAAGGTGAGGCTTTATATTTCCATCTGAAAAGTCCCAAAGAAAATTTCTAGATATTTTTTTCCAATTCAGTCAAGATGTTATCGGGTAGAAGCATAGTTTGCATGACATAGTTAGGAAAAGCGAATAAGACAGACTTGATTAGCACATATTTTCTAGCAATATTAACATGACGACTTCTCCAGCTAGCCAGTTGGGAATGTGTTTTATCAAGAAGAGGAGCAAAGGTAAGCTTGAAAGCTTTTTCATGTATAAGAGGAATTCTAAGATATTTTTCAAGATTTTCAGTGATAGGAATTCCTAACTCCCAGTTAATCTAAGTAGCTCTATTGATGTTAACATTCTTGAAGCAAAATAATCTAAATTTATTAGTATTAATTTTTTGACTCGAGGCACTACAAAAGTTAGAGAGACATTGTTGTATGATTATTGCTTGAGATAGAGAGACTTCTGCAAAGAGTAATAGATCGTTAATAAAAAATAAGTGAGATATAGGAGGCCCATTAAGAGTTAGTCTAATTAGCTTCCATTCATTTTTATCAATACTACTAAAAATGCAATGACTTAAACGTTCAATACAAAGAACAAATAGGTAGGGAGAAAGAAGATCCCCCTGACGGATGCCTCTTGAAGGTTTGAATTCTTTAGAAGGTTCCCTATTCTAAAGAACTCTCATCTTAGTAGAAGAGATGGCAGCATGAATTAATTTTCTAAGATGGATATTTATTCCAACTGAGATAAGAGTATCATCAATGAAGTTCCATGATAGCCTATCAAAAGCCTTCTCAAGATCAACTTTCAAAGCCATAAAACCTTTTTTCACTGTTCTATTTCTTATAAAATGAATGACTTCTTGAGCAATAATGATATTGTCACTACTTTGTCTGCCCTGGATGAAGCTGCGTTGATTATTACTGATAAGATGATTCATACAAGCATGTAAACGATTAGAGATAATCTTGATGATAATTTTATAGCTCACATTGTAAAGAGAAATGGGATAAAAATCTTTCATGCAAGTGGGGTGGTTAATCTTAGGAATCAAAGTGATGAAAGTGTCGTTTATCTCTCCAATAGAATTTGGATCTTTGGAAATTTTTTTGATAAGATTAATAATGCTATGTTTGAGATCTTCCTAATAAGAGTAGATAAAACCTGCATTAATGCCGTTAGGGCCTGGAGCTTTAAAGGCCCTTATGTTAAAAATGACATTCTTGATTTCTTCTTCAGTGACGTCTCTATGTAAGTATTGCAACTAAATATAGGAGAGAGCAGGGAAGCTTCTTTTAGTGGAATGTATAGGCTTGGCATTACCTTCTTCCTTGAAGAGCTTTTCAAAATAAGAAACAACCATCTTTTTAAGGATAGTTTGGTCTTGGATCCAAGTATCCTCATCAGCTTTGAGGGATAAAACCTAATTCCTTTTTTTTTTCTAATGATAGATGTAGCATGGAAAAACTTTATATTCTAATCTCCCCATTTAAGCCATTTACATCTTGATTTTTGAAACCAAATCAATTCTTCTTGCACGAGGACTTTGTTGTAGTCATCCTAAAGAGTCTTTTCCAACTTCCTTAGAAAATGATTTTCTCTAAGATTCCTGTTTTTGTCAATTCCTTCCAGCTTTCGCAAAATTCTTTTCTTTTTAGAAGATATGCTACCAATGTGTTCATTATTCCAAAGGGTGGTAGAGGTGGCAAATTTGAAAACTCCTTCATTCCAGCTATCAAGTCCAAGAATCTTTAACAATAGTATGGAAGGAGTCCTCAAGTATTCAAGCAGCATGACAATGAAAAGGTTTATTTTGGTGCTTTTGTTGTTCTCCCTTTTGTAGTTGAATTCTGATTGGACGGTGGTCGAAGCCATATTTAAGAAGATGGAAGGAGTTGGCCTGATAAAATTGGAGTCGCCATTCTGTGTTACAGAAAGCCCAATCAAGATGTTCTTTAATATTATTATTCCATAATAACCAAATACTATTAGCATAACCAATAGCCTCGACATGAGTCCAATTAGAAAAACCAAGTTTTCTTATAATTTTATCAGCCTTAACACCACTAGCTCTAGTTTCCAATAAGATAAAAATTTAAGTATTATACAGTTTGGTGATTTCTTTAATACGATTAGGAAAGATTTTTGCATAAGAGCCTCTACAGTTCCCGCAAATTATATTCATAATAAAAGAAATGGAGAAGATAAACCTAGATTAAAGATTATGCTCTGGAGATTTATGTAGCATCTTCAAGTTGATCATCACTAAATTCATCGTCTTCTAAATCATCATTTTGGGCTTGAATATCATAATCTTCATCAAGCAGGTCATCATTGAGAATATCCTCTTCAATATCTTTTTAGATGAAATTTTCTTGAATATCATCTGAATTCAAAAAATTGTCATGAATTTCCATATTTGAGAATTCATTGAATTGAGTTTTAGGGGTAATGCTATGGTTAAACTTTAGGTCAGGTAGTTCCTTTTGTTCGAGGAGAGGACTAGAAATGATTAGGGGATTAATTTGAGAATTTACAGTAACGTTATTGTTCGCTATCCAAATGTTTAGATCAGGGGAGAAGTGAACTCCAACTGCATTATTTCTAGCTATGTTATTTTCACATTCGGTCTGTATAATCATCACGTTTTTAGGCTTATCTAAAGAGCCCAAAGTTCTCTTGCTCCCTTTCATAACATTGTGAATTCTCTTTATAGGCTTATGGACTGCATTATTAAGCTAAGGCATATTGTGACCATTGTTTATCAAGCATGTTGTTTTTGGGCCCTCTCAATTGAAGCTTGGCCTAGCTATTGTGACCCTTTTTCCCTTATCTTACTTGTTCAGCTCTAATATTCGAGGTGGTTCAGTTGCTGTATCCTGCTTGTTAGGTCTGCTGCTTTTAACTCCAACCACTTCTTTCTTCTTCCAAACTTGTTTGACAGACTTCGTAGGTACGTTCTTAGCTGTACCATTAGTAAGGGCTAATTTGACTCCTCTCAAGTCTTCAGTATTGCGTTTTAGAGGATAATGTTGCCTTTTAAAAGAGATGTTTCAAAACTAAAGAGTTATGTCCCATGGAAAGGACAAGTACCTCGCATGACTAACAAATCAAGATTCTAATCTCCAAGAGATGCATATGCATTTAATGTGCATGAATGTACTTCAAACAAAATTATTTTTAATAAAAGGATATCACAAGTAACTAAAAAAAAGGAGAATTTCATTAAAGTAATAGGGATATGATATTGTTATTAAAAAAACTTAATCATTGGTCCATAAAATTTTATCAGGGTTTTGTTTTTAATTCTTATAATTTCTAGTGTTTTTAGTCTCTATAATTTTAAAAAAATTGGGTAGCCTTTGTTTTTTGATTTTTTTTTAATTTTGAGTTTCTATAATGATTGAAAATATTGAAAAAAATTATAAAGACTAAAAGCAAAACCCAATGAAATTATAGAGATTAAATATTATGTTTTTCCTTTACAAATTATGCCTAAATAAATATGAAATTTTACTGCAAGAATTTGGATCTAAACTGAAATTAAAATGTAAGACATAATGATTAAATAAATCTTTTGAATTATAATATCTACTTTACATATTAATTCCCTACTATTACTTGTTAAAACTTTATTTTAGTTGCAACTATAAGGAATTAATGTGTAAGGATTTTAACAAAGGTTATTTCAATTATTTTGCCTTACATTTTAATTTCAATTCAAGCCTAAATTCCTCCAGTAAAATTTCATATTCATTTAAACCTAGTTTTGTAAATTCTCCCGAAAAAATAGCCATAACAAAGAAAGCCATTAACTACAAGAAAAATTTTCTGAACTATCGCTCGTGAACTATTCGGATATTCATACCCTTTTTTTCTCCTGTCTCAGCCAGAATGCTAGTGGAGAATCTCTCCCTGGCCTTTAAACTTAGCAATCACAGAATATTGTGCCAGGGTCGTGCCCTGCCGTAGGAGTAAACATTAGCCCAAAATAAAGGAAGAAAGAAAGGCTTTAGCTCTAAGAAAAGGAACATAAGAAGGGCCGAGATCAGGCCTGAGTCTAGCTCGGACCAGTAAGAAGCGCTGCAATTTGTTCAGGCCCAACCACTGACACTCGTTCGTGTCATCACGCGCATGCAAAGCACGTGGCACCACGTCTTTGGAAACCGTCGATCCCCAACAGGCTCTGTGTTTTTTATTCCTACTTGGAGGAAGAGCGATCGGAGGACAGTGAAGGTAAGGAAATTTCAGGTTCTCAATGGCGAATTTGCCCCAATCGCTCTCCATGAATGCGCCTTTCGGAGCTCCCGGTGCCTCCGCCCAGAACGCCGCTTCTACTCAAGCCAACAAGGAGCGTAAGCTGGCGTCTGCAGAGCACCTTGTTCTTGAACTGAGCAACCCCGATCTCCGAGAAAATGCGCTTCTTGAACTCTCCAAGGTAAGATACTCCTCCTTTCTATGCTAAATTAACGCTCTTTTAATGGCCAGTCTTGACTGCAAATTGGGATTCTCGTCATAGAGCCCGTGGGGTGAAATAATAATGGAACAATGGTGATGGAGTTCAATTTTAAAGATTTCAGACAATTTGGGACGTTTGAATCTTGTTTTCGTATTTCTTTCACTGTGTTCTTTCTGGAACAGATTCATTGAGATGAGACTGGAGTGTTCTTTGAAAATTAGATCCAAATTTTTACTTGCGATTAGGGTTCTTCGATAAAGGGCTTTCAGGAAAACTGAGATTGAATCTTTTTTCTGTTATTCATTGCTTTCTCTTCTCATTTATAATTTTATGAGTAATAATAACCTGTAGCTTGTAAAGGAGTTGCGGTATTCTTCAGGCAATCTAAGCTGTTATGTCAGTCTACCTCTGTTTCAAGTGTTGAAGCTCTTTCCTTCTTGTGTTCTATACTATCGTTTTTTTTTTCCCGTTCTTCTTGAACTGGTATTGCAAGTTGCCCTCATAATTACTTTCTGAAAAATGAAAGTAGTTTGTTTTATTTGTATGTAGAGGCGAAAGCAATCTCCCATGGGCTCTTTGGGTTTGAGGATGCTTGTAATCATTGGTTTCTGTTTGTGTATACGGCTTCATTGAATTGTTACATTTTGCCTTGGTTGAATCTAGCAACAGAAGGGAGCCGTGCTTATGACTTGTTTAAATCATTAACTTTGGATTTACCTGGCATCTCCATACATAAGCGGAATCACAGAACAGATATGATGAAAAACTTTCTGAATGTCATATACTTTGGTTATGGTCTTTGGCTGCCTTAATATGTACAGAACAGTATGTTAGAAGACACACTAATGCATTACGCAACCATTTAAGTATTGTTCACTGCCTTGTAAGTGATGGGGTATTTTGTTTTCCATGCTTATGGGTGGATTGGGTAGCGTGAGAAGTATTTGCATTATAAGCAAGGAGTACAATAATTATGTGCCTTAAATAGGAGAAAGAAAGAATAGCAAAATCTCATGATTTGATTCATGTTATATGGAAAATTTATGTTGTTACTGCTGCTTCTTTTGTACAGATCTCATTAATTTTTTTCTCCATTTATCTATTTTAGAAAAGAGAATTATTTCAAGATCTTGCCCCGTTACTTTGGAATTCTTTTGGTACTATTGCAGCACTTTTGCAGGTAAGCTATCCTGCTTGCGTTAAATATTCTTTTTTCTATTAACTTATATGCATCAATCCTTCTTGTAAACCCCTACTTGCTTTGAACCCAATAATCTTTGAGCTTACTAGAAATTCTCTTCTTCGGTGATGTTTGCTCTTTTTGGTCTCTTCCGTTTTATGTACACACAGACACATACACACTGTTCTGCATGCTTACAACATTCTATTTTCATAATTTGAGTACAGTGATTGTGAATGATGAAATGATGATTGAGTGATGTAAGTAAAAACACAAAATTAGCAAGGGAACTTGTTATGCTACTAGTAATGTTTATAACAGCTAGTTAACTTCAACCATTTTGTTGTCGGCATACTCCTAAATTGAACTCTGAAATTTTCCTCATTTTGTTTGTACTCCATATGCTTTATAATATTGTGAAGGATAAATATATATCATTGCTTGACTTATCAAGTCCTTGAATTTCTTAGTTGTTATTGAATGGCTGGGTGCCCATTATGTCACCTCCACTTATCAGGATTTAATTTTTTTTCTTGCAGGAAATAGTTTCAATATACCCCGTTCTATCACCACCAAATCTTACCCCAGCACAATCAAACCGAGTGTGCAATGCTCTTGCTCTTCTTCAAGTCAGATGTTTTTGTCCCGTCAACTTTAGTATCTTGTGTTCTGTATTTTACAAGAAGAATCAGACAATGCTTTGAGAATAGTCAATAGTTTCATTTTTCTTTTTAAAGCTCTGATTTATTTATAGACCATGACGCTAAATAAGTTGCAATTCATTCAATAACGATGCCATTATTATTATTGTTATTATTATTATTATTATTTTGAGTTATAAAAAACTGGAAAGGAAAAATCCTGCTACTAAGGCTTTGTATTCTGATGTTTTTCTTACAGTGTGTAGCTTCTCATCCAGAGACAAGGATGCTATTCCTCAATGGTAATGTCAATTTTCCCAGTCATGTGAAGCATTTTTAACTTGCTTTTGTTGTTGTACTTGTCTTTTTGGCATGATGTCTTCCTGAAAGGTCGATTCGTTAAGCTGAAAAAGTATTATCAGCAAGTAAAATGAACCTTGTAGACTAATTATAATTGCAACTAATGCGCCCTGCATTTGCTTTCCCCCATCTACGAAGCTCTTTACTTCCAAAACCCTCTGTTTCTCTTTTCTTGATTTCAGATAGAGTTTCTTTGTCCAGCAAACTTAATGGTCATGATATTGGATTTCCTTTTCTGTCATACCTCTTCCTTTTGGTCGTTGGGCCTTTAACTTACAATACTTGTACTTCCCAAGCACCTGCAGGCTGTAGCCAAGAGTTTCAGGTCCAACTTAAGGCATTACTTTTCTTTGTATTGAATATTAGGAGATTTTGAGATTACTATGTGTCTCTGGATGATTTTTTCCCCTCATTAGAAGATAAGACTTAGAAGTCTTCAAGTGTCTCATACACTTAATCTTTGTAATTTTTTGCGCTCACCTTCTCTCTTCTACAGCTCATATACCTCTATATCTGTATCCGTTCCTTAATACAACGAGCAAGTCAAGACCATTTGAGTATTTGAGGCTTACCAGTCTTGGTGTCATTGGTGCCTTGGTGAAGGTAATTCATCCCTGCTGATTATGATGTTGCATGCACTTGTCACTCAATAGGTTAATTTACATTTAAATATGCAAATTTGCTATCTTGCAACAAGTCTTTAATAGAATAGGGAATCATTCTCGCAGTTTGGACTTTTTCTATGGCTATTTGTCAGCAATTGATCTGAAGTTCCAAACTAACTCTTTTTCACACTCACTGGCAATTGTTGTCTTTTTGGAATTATGATTTTATTTATTTGTTTTGTCTATTGTAATAACTTTCCTCGTTGTTTAATCTTCAGGTTGATGATACTGAAGTTATAAGCTTCCTTCTTTCAACAGAAATAATTCCTCTCTGCCTGCGCACAATGGAAATGGGCAGCGAATTGTCAAAAACAGTTTAGTTAACTGAATCTTGCTTTTGGTTTGCTCATGCTCATGCTCTCTTCTTTTAACACTGTACTTTGAATGGAGTAATTGGAGTCAGCTGCAATTCCCTTCTTCATATGTCATCATGTGCTACAATATTTTTGGAGTTTTTGTATAAAGTCAATGCACGAAAAGCTATATTGCTTTGCTTTGTTATGCTACATTGCTACAGTGAAATTTTGGGTAATAAGCTTGCAATTATCTGCTTATGTCATCTGATTAAAGGAGATGCCATTAGCTGTTCAGGGTGTGATCTTGGCACAAAATAATTTGACACTATGGAACCCCTTGTGGTTACTTGAGCGGTCTTATCTTAAGATTTTTTTTTTTAATATTCAAAATATCATGTGTCTTGCTGTTAGAAGTTTGAAATATTTCAGGCTTGTATTCTATCAAAAATTAAGTTGAATTCAGGCTTTTGTGCTATTTGGGCTCAAGGACAGCTCCTGTTCCTTGAGCTGATCAATGACATAGACTGTTATCTGATGTATGAATGACGTGTTACTGTAACTTGTTATTGTTGCATTTGGAATATTTGGTGTTTTGTAAAAGACATTGTACATAATTGTCTCATGAAATACATACTATTCGCAGGTTGCAACATTTATAGTCCAGAAGATTCTATTAGACGATGTTGGGTTGGATTATATATGTACTACCGCAGAACGGTTTTTTGCAGTGGGTAGGGTTTTGGGAAACATGGTGCAAGCTCTTGCCGAGCAACCATCATCTCGTCTGTTGAAACATATAATTAGATGTTATCTCCGCCTGTCAGATAATCCAAGGTTGGTTTAATAGATTGAAACACCCTTTTAAGAACTGGTGACTCAACTCATTCCTCAAGTCACCCATTTCATTTGGTTCTTGATTTACCCTTTCTGATTCTGTAAGCAGGGCCTGTGATGCATTAAGAAGTTGTCTTCCAGATATGTTAAGAGATGCTACTTTCAGTAGCTGCCTCCGGGTGAGCACTTCTTGAAATACTTAAAGAGTGTGTATATATTTTATTTTATTAATAAAGTCAAGCAGTTTGATCAGTAAAACAATTATGAGATTGGGTCTAGTAGAAGGGGCTATTCTTTCACAATATGGCTAATCAATATTCAAATCTCTATTGAAAAAGGTACTTACATTTAGCATTGATTGTGTCTCGAACTAAATTATCTTCAATAGGAGGACACCTGGGTACACTTTTTTTTTTAAAAAATTGTGGTTTGCAAAGAAGGCATCAAACTTCACCATTCTCTACTGGAGAGGGGTCTCTTCCTTTCTTTTCCCTCCTTTTCCTTTTCTGAAGCCTCACCCTTCGTCAAATTTGTAATTAAAATAAATTCATTTAATAAAATAAAATTAATGGTAGAGATTGAGAAAAAGAGGAAAAAGGAGGGAAAAGAAAGGGAGTGACCCTTCTGCCCTTCTCTGCTAAGAGCAGTTTCAGAGCCTAAAATTTTCCATTTTCTCATTTGACGTCTCTTTTTCATGTCCAGGAAGACCCAACAACCAGGAGGTGGCTACAACAGTTGCTTATTAATGTTGGAGTTAATCGTGTTCCTGGTGGGCTGCAAGCTGGTGGTGGTTTCGAACATATGATGGTGTCATAATTACAAGGTTTTCTCAGTCTTAATTATAGGGTTTTTGGGCGTTTTGCCCTTATTTTTCACCCAAAAACACTACAAGTTTTTTTTCTCTTCGTTGCTGGGCTTTTTGTCTGCTTGGTCCAGCATTTAGCAGTCATCTTTTTCTTTCTATCACATGCTTTTGATTTCAGATGAATTAGTTGTAATTATTGTTAACTTGTGCCCAAATGATGTAAGATGATGTTTTATGTATCTAATTATATGGTTCTTTGATCCAATTCTTCTCGGTGAATGCTGTGGTATCAAAGTTGGGAAAATTCTAATAAAATAATGGATAAGTTAATTATGAATTGAAATGCATACTTGTACATCAAGGCAAGCATACTTAACAATCAAATTGTTGTTTATACTTGAGATGTTTCTCTTCATTTTTGTTTCCATGACTGGTGGGAAATTAATTGGTTATTTTGCAAAATTTTTGAAGGACCATGAACAGGGTTACTAGGAGAATCATCCAAGAACATGAGACGAGATTTTTAAAAGAGAGAATCATATTTAAGAATTTTTTAAGAGAATTATTCACAAATAATGATAAATGCAGAATTGTTCATTGTCAAAATGGTAATGGTGATGTTTTTTTGTTATTGATGATTTTTTATTAATCTTCGCTTGCGAATAATTTTTTTAAAAGATCTTGAGATGCAGTTCTTTCAATTTTTAAAACCATTTTCTTTGCCTGAGTGGATTCTGTGCACTCTCTTATTATATAGTTTCTAATTTTTATTCTATGACCAAATCATTTTTTATTTTTTTGGCCAGAACCAAATCACATATTGACTAAATGCAATTCAAAATATTTAAATGAGAGACATATTGTAAGCAAGAAAAAAGTTGGTTGATGCATTATGGGAAATCAAGTCACTATTCCATTTAGCTGTATTAAAAAAAAAATTACGAGCATGCGATTCTCATTGACTTGATTCGATTCCTAGCAATTTTATGCTAAACATCGAGATACTAATTATCTAGCACTAATGCTACAATTGAGATTGAACCGGTTTAGTGTTGAAGTCGGTTCGCCCCATTGCTTTTGCTAAAAATGGTAAGTTGACCTTAGAGACTCAATCTTTCTTTTTTTTTTTTAAAATCACTTTCTTTGGTGAGACAAACCGGTTAAAGTCAATTCCAATACGTGTATTGGATTCATTTCCATTTCTTCAATAAAATGGGATTAATATTGAAAAACAAAAATCTTGAACGGACCATTTTTTCAAGTCCCCACCCCCAAAAAAAGTAAAAAAAAAAAATGGTCCAAATTCATGTGGTTCATTGGTATGGTAATAGAACCAAACACATGTATTCCCTTGATGCAAGTGGGATCTTTTCTGCGATACGCCACTAAGTGTAGTCCTTATCTGCCTCTTATGCAACACTCATGTTCTAAAGTAACGACAACAACAACAGCTGCTCTATTTCTATGATGTTTAAGGTATCAATATCCATGGCTGTAGTTCTAACAGCTTTGTTACGAGCCTTCTGTGAACTCTATCCACAAACAAGTTTATATGTTTCAATGGTCTATAATTTATATGGTAGCTCTTAAGGTCTTAATCTCTCCAAATATTTCATAAATTATGAACCCATGTGACTTATTTTACAACATACTCCCTCCATTTTTTTTATTATAAGAGAAACTACTATACACTTTATTGTATTTTTATAAGTAAAACTATAAATTTTGAAAAGCATTTATTTCATTTTCCCTAAATTGCCTCTCATAAATAGATAATATCTTTAAATTGGAGAAAAAAATAAACATTAATTATAAGGATATTTTAGTCCAAGTTTTTAAATTTCAGACATAATTATTATAATTAACTAATTTTTTAAACTGTGTGAGCTGGTTAAATTTTAATATATATATATATATATATTTAAACGGAAGTATCTAATTGTTTCTAATAACAAACCGGTAGAGATTAAGACCCTTGTCCTTTCAAAATCTAAGGTAAGGCAAGCATGCTGGTGGAAGTTTCAATCGCTGTTGGTGGTCTCAGTGAATTTTTCCATCTCTGATATATGTGATACGTCTCTTTCTATTTACCTATAAGGTTCTTGGAGTGTATGAGTGCACGCACAAACACACACAGACACAAATACAAAGGAGAATCACTTATTTTGGCTATTCATTTTTTAGATATCCAAACTGGGACCAAAGCATGTTATCCTGTTAGATGAAGACATTGTCCCCTGAGACCTGAGGAATTACATGGGTCATATATATATTGAATTTTTTTATAATTAATAAATGAATGTGACAGATTATTGACTGGTGTACAATCAATACTAATAATAATCTCTGTTAAATCAGACACTTTCCATCTTTTTTTTTCTGTCCTCAAACGCAGTTTGCTCCATCAATGCAGAGCAGAAAGAAAATTATGATCGTTTCATTTCATCTATGAAACTTTCTAACATGCAACTTGAGTACTCCTTAGATCAAGCAAGCATTTTTTTTTTTTTTGGTGCTTTCGCCCTGGCATCCTAAGTTTTTACTCAGACTAATCTGACTAGCAGCTCACAGGCTCCTCTTTTGGGGGCATTCCTTCCTTCGACCAAGAATTTAAACGCTGCTATATACTGAGGGCTTGAACTTGAGACCTCTGGTTAAGCTAGACCAACTCCCCAGTTAGTTGATTGAAGCATTAGGAGGTATCAAGCAAGCATTTCTAACAATGAGCTAGCCTAAATAATCATGATTAAGAATTAGTCCACGTAAATTTGGCCCAAAAAAAAAAAGAATTAGTCCACAGAAATAGATAGGGAACACCGAAAAGCTCTTCTGACCTCCATAGTCAGAAACTAAAATCTTTACAGACCCAATGAAAGGGGAAAAATAAGCAGCAAAGTGCAAAATTATAAAAAACATAAGCCTTATTTTGATCTTCAAAAGATGATTTTATTAATCTCCTTCCAAAGATTAATCTCTCTGCTGCGTCCTCAACTGCTTATAGAAGTTCCTAATGAAGGCATCAGCTTTTGCAAACAGCTCTTGGCCATTGATTCCTGCAACCTCATCTTCTTCATCAATCTCCTCCTCCTCCACGGCTTCTGCTTCTCCAACAAATAAAAGGCTTGGCATTGAAGCACTCTTCACCTTGTCAAACTTTTCAAGAACAATCTTAGGCTTCTTTTTTTCACTAAGTTCTGAGAAAGAAACATTTCCACTTCCACTGGCTGAGGTGGAAGCTTCCTTTTTGTCAGGAACAGCAGAAGAAAATTTCTTGTCTTCTGAGGAAGAAGGCCTTGGAAAAGCTGAGAGAAAACCAGCTTCAGCTCCAAGTGTGATGATCAGGAGGTTGACAATGAAGTAGAGGAAGGTAGGCTTTAGGGAGGAAGGCAAAAAGGGTGTGATAATAAGAAGAAGAGCCAGCACAAGCAGCATTAGAACTTGAGACTTGTTAAACTTGGCCATGGCTCTTGGTGGATGACAAGTGAAGTGGCCTTGTATGACGAGAAATATCAGAAAGATCAAGAAGATCTAGTGCTGGCAGCAGGAAGTAATAGAAATAAAAGTGAGGTTCTGGGGGGACACACACACACATTTATATACAAAAGAGACCTTAAAATTTTAACATAGAAATATTGACCAAGTCAATCATCATAAACAAGATGATGACTCTAAACATTAGGGAAAGCAAGGTAACGAGGAGGTAAGAGGAAAAGTAAGACTGGGATCCCACTTCCTGTACTGTCATTTTATTTTTGAATGTAATAGATTGAGTGAGATAATAATGTAGAAGAGCGATAATAATAGAGCATTGACACAGAAATATGAGATGGCACTCAAAGGCTTGGCAAGTTGAAAATTAAACTAACCATAAGAGGAAAGGGGACAATAGAACATGGAAGCAAGAGGGGATGCAGCGGACTAGGATATAGCTTCTTGTGCTATCAATTTCTTTTACAAAAATATGATAGATTGAGAAAGATTTTTAGTAATATTGCTACAAAAGAGTGATTAAACACTGTACGTGTGTGTGAACCGTGAACATAATTTATTTAATCTCATTTTACTCTGCATTCTTCACCTCTATTCTGCGTTCATTTATTCTCATTTTACTATCATTTATTTATTTTTTGTTTCGATCTAGACAGATATAATACATTTATTTGCTAAATATAGAAATTCAGGCGTTGAACTTATTAAAAAAACATGTTCTTATTCATAATTTTAAAAACAAAGATAAAAATAGACGTATCTTTTTTTGTTCCCTGTCAATGAAGACGACGACAAATTTATCTGAATGTTTATTGGACACTGCTCGATAAGGTCGGTGAAAGCACACTCCCATTTTCCCATAAAGTTTACCCACCTTTTATTTTTATGCTTTTTTTTTTAAATTTTCTTGGGCGCTTTAATTTAAGCTTTTGATTTCAGAACCACTAAGAAAAGTCTTCATACAACCTGGCAGCTTGGGATAGTTGGTAAGCGAACTGTTAATGTTAAGGCAAGGTTATGAGCTTAATTCTCTCAGTTAAAGCTCCACAAAACTGTTTGGCTAGCAGAAAGCACGAGAACAAAATGAATTAAATAAAAATAAAAATAAATTAAATTATACCCATTTCATTATAATCATGATAAAATCCAATCACATAATATAAATACAAAATCAATCCACTTTTTACAAACTTAATGAATTATGACTCAATCTCATAATTATGAATTGAATTACATTTTTCTTTTTCATGAATACGATCTACCTCTCTTTCCTTCACTTTTTAGTCATTTTAGTTTTGTTTTTTTTTCCTTTAATATATTATGGTCTCATCTTTTGCAGCAACCAAAAAAGTTTTCAGAAATTTTATCCCAATGGAGCGTCAAACTATGAGAGCACTCCACAAAGCAAACCTGAATTAGTGGGAGTCTAACGTGACTATCAAATGCCGAGTGCTTCAAGCAAGGAATAAGTCTTGATACGCTTACAATGTTGATCAAATCTACACGTAGCAACTTTGATTTCATCCTAACAGAACGAAGGTATAACCTCTTGTGCTGTTCGGCCTCCGCTTATAAATAGATTTTGATATGAGATATCATATTTATACATACAATGAAAATGATTTGACATTAATCATTATTTGTACATTATCATATTGCATTCTAGAGGTATTAAAAGATTATCTAATTGTCTAACTGACATATTCTTAAAAAAAGGAAAAAAAGGGTGTTTTTGGAAGGCTCTCTTTTCCTATCTTTACATCCGATTGCGTACCCATGGCTTCTTTCCTTATTTCCCCATCCTTGTTTTCATAAATATGTTATGTTTATCAATTGCGTCATCTAAAAAGATTTAAAAACAAGATCATGGGCTTATAGCTCCACATCAGACGGTTCATGTAATAGAGACCAAGATGAACCAAAATGGTTAGATCCTAAGGCCAATAGACACCTATTCCTCTTATAATCTAATGTATTTCTTTTTCTTTTTTATCTTATCCCTTTGGTGCAATAGCACAATACAGAATCATTATCCTTCTTGAGAATGAGGAGGAACAAATATTCTCTACCCTTTTTCTTTACTGGGCTAAAAAAACAAAAGAACATTCTCCTCTTGGCTTGTGAGGTGGATTTGACAGAGACTTGATATAAGATATTGACCAATATTATAGCATCTAGCCGCAACCCCAGCATATCCTTCATCAGAAGAGTTCAGGGTCGATAGAATTTTCCTGTTCTAATCCTAGGGCTGTTATGCTTCATGCTTTACAAGTTAACCAAACTTACCACCACATCACAGAATTATTCGTATCTACCAAATAAATTATGAATTGTCCAATCCGAATCACAATGTGCTTCAGTAAATCAATCTTTCTCTGTTTTCTGTCCGGAGTGATAAAGGATAGGAAAAGGAATGGCTGCCTATTCTAAAGAGGCTATAAAATTACTTGTATTCTCCACCTTCAATTATTTTGTACCTATCAATAGTTAGTAATCCCAGTAACGACAACACCTCCCTCATTTGAAAGAGATCCCGGGTTTAAATCCGGAGTTGACATATTTGTGCGCACACATAGGTATATGTGTCTCTCTTTCCTTCGAAGAAGGACAAGGTTAGGCACAAAATTTAAAAAAAAAAAATTATTCTGTACTCTACAGAAAATTAAGCATACGGCACTTCCATCCTGATAGATATGAATAAAATGAAGAGTATGCTTAAAGGATACTTACATGGCAAAAGTGGCATAGTTATCAGACATAAATGCGTAACAAAGTCAAAAATTACTGCAACATGCAATAATCCACATTGTATAAACAACATACAATCCAGTAGAATATATTCAACCCATATAACTGGCCTCAGACCAGAACTTTCGGTACAAAAAAACTTAACCATATGCATCCAACTCATTTACATCTACCTAAAAAGCTTAAACTGAAAGCCAAGTAGCTGCAGGTATGTAACGGCACACTTTTCAAAACGGCGCTAAGATAAAGAACCACTGTATGTATATTTAAGACAGAAAACCTATGATGAGATCATCCAAATCTGGTGGGCAGTCATTGATGATTAAGCCATGTTCATTGGCCAAATGAAGAAGGCAGATGAAGCACATGTGAGGAGAGATATCCCCTGCTTCTACAGCAGCAGAACAATCGATTGGAACCGAGGCCAACAGACACTTGAAAGATACAGCACCATCGTGTACCTGTAAACAGGAAAAAATTACTTGGAATGAGAAATGAGCTTTCACGTCCATGGTGTTGGTAATGAAAAAGGGCAGAAAATGTTCAACATTTTTAAAAATATACAACGTCCTGTAGCAGTTAATGTCCATATACAAGATAACCCTTCATATCCATAAATTATAACGGTAATAACTTGAGAAAAATAATTTCCAAAAAAATATTAGCGAACTGAAAACAAACTAATATCTTGGTTCTTTTTCTTTGATGTGTTCAATCAGCGTATCGGCTTTCAGGCACTCTGTTTCCTTTCTTCTCATGCTACAGCTCCCAACTTACAAACATTCCCTCACTTTTGATGTTCAGCACAGAAGAAAACTTCTTTAAAACACCATTAATATTACTTTACCAACGTAATGCCCTCTCACAAAGTCAAGTTATTTCAGTTTTCATAGCCAACATATATAATAATATAAAAGTACCAATATAGGCTGTTGCTGCAACACTTCATGGAATAGCACTATGTTGATGCCACAATTTAATCATTCTTAAACACTTCTAAAGATAATATAAATGCTATCACAACAGACATCAACTGTATGTATGAAACTAGACAACATAAAATTTTTTCTTGAAAAAATAAATATATTCATCTGTATATTCATCTGTATTTACAAATGAATGTTAAAATTGAATTTATAACAATTAAAACATAACCTAAGAAGCTATATAGGTCACGTTTGCTTACTAAAATATAATGGATTGTAAAAATATAGATAAAAATAAGATGATCAAGGAGAATAGGTGAGCATATTCATAAGGGAGAGGAGTAATTTAGTTCATGGAGTTGAAAATCATAATTCATGAAATTTTTGAAGGGTGAGAGGATTCTCATATTTGTAATATATATTAATGAGCTTTATCATGCTTATTATGGGTATAAGGGTGATTTAGTTCATTTTTTTTCTTTATTTTTTCAATCCATTCCATGTCATTCTATTCTAGGAAGCAAACATGACCTAAGTCTTTGTCTTTGATGTTAGATTATGGGTTCCTACCCCCATATAAAAATAAATACGCACACCACAAGAAACATATTTAAAACCTGAGCATATCCCACCAAAGGCATAGTTTTGAGGGCCGGGCGTTACAAAATTTAGGGAGAACACAACTAAGTCTCAAAGAAAACGTGGCAGATACAAGTAGGGGTGTTCAATCTGGACCTGTCCCGATTGGCCCGGTATCGTCCCGATCATATCGGGACGGGTCTTGTCCCGGCCCGAAAATAATCGGGACGGGACTTTACGAAACGAAACAAGAAAGGGGTTCGGGACGGGACGGGACACGGGATTACCATCGGGATGTCCCGTCCCGTCCCGAATATTATATATATTATTTTTTATTTTAAATATATTAATTATATTAATATAATTTATACTTATATTAATTATATCAATTATAATTTTAGTACTTACAATTCTTATTTAAAACTAAAGTGTTTTTATATTGATAATTTTAATGGCATGGAGTAAACATGGCGATATCTTTTTTATAATATATTAATTATATTAATATAATTTATTCTTATATCTATCTATTTAATAACTTTTATTTATAACATATTTCTTGCTTATTTTTAGAAGAGTAATTAGCTTAGTACATCTTCACTAAAGTAGAAGAATAATTATTTGATGTTGTATTTAACTTGCCTGTTATTACTAATCTTATAGCATAAAGATCACTTGTATTTTTTATTATAATATATAGTGGTGATTAATATAATTCAATAATTGATTTTAAATTATTGTTATTTATGTACTTGTGTTATTTTGATTTTAAACTTAATAAATTATATAATTTAAAATTTTAATGAACATTATTGTCCAAATCTTTTTCCGATATTATTTCATTTATCGGGACGGCGGAACATCCCGATCTTGTCCCGACTCTTAACGGGATGGGATGACTTTCGGGACGGGACAGGACACGGGACCAAAATTCAGTCCCGATCTTTTTTTCGGGACGGGACACGGGACGGGGATGTCCCGGTCCCGTCCCGTCCCGTGACCAACAGAACTAGATAAGAGGAAACAGAAAGTAGATTGTTGAAGGATATTACCGACTCAGTGCTTTCTCTGGAATCCTGCATGTGATGCCAAAGAGATTCCTTCAAAGCATGTACATCAACTTGTTTAGTAGTTTTCTCATATTGAATCACAGTTTCTTTTACCTGAAGAATGCAATCCATGGATGTGAGCAACAAAATGAGATGGAAATTAAGAAAGAAAACAAATGGTGAAAAGATAGTAAGTGAAAAGGTTAGCATAAATTATATGTTGCCCAAGTTTCTCAACTAGAAGACAAGTGGATAATATCTAAAGCCGCCATTTGTATGAAATCAAAACCTTCCTTGAAAGGAAAAAGATCAATGTGTCATTTCACAACCAGTCAAAATTTCAAACTCCAAAGACGTTCCTCCAGTGACCCATGAATGACTTTTTGTTTTTTAAAACATAGTATGGGAAAAAAATCAGTTTCATAACCATTCACACTGGTGGACTGACTCACATGCGGCTAAGCATAAAAACTCGAGAAAATATAAGGGATTAATAAAAAAGAAAGAGGAAGAAAAACCTGGCATGGCTGGGAGATGAATCTGTCATTGACTTCACCATCACTATAAATATGTATGTCATCATAATGATCATCAGAGACTCTTTGATGTTCCCAAGGCGGCACTAGACTACTGTTCTGTCGCCAAAAGTTTTCAACTGGAACAAATAATAATGGCCATATCATAAGTATGTTATATTCTATCTGCAGACAATCGGATGGGAAAAAGTATGTTCTAACTTGCATTGCAAAGACAACGAATCTTACAAAACCATATGAACGTGAAGAACCACTACCCCTGTCATTATGCCTTACTATATGAGAAACAGGAAAGTTGGATCACAATGTTGAAATTGAAAATTAGCAAGCCAATATTTGAGCATTGTTTTTTCATCTGGACTTCCTAAAAGAACGGATCGGAGGTCAGGTCCCTGATCAATTGTCAATCCAAAATTCAGAATCTGGAAGGAGGAAATGTATGCATAACATATGACCTTGGCATATCATGGAATCAAAGATACCACCAAGGCGCGGGAGAATGAAAATGAATCCCAATCCGATTCCCTTGAAGTAGGAAATATATGCATAACTGATATAGACATGGTAAGGTGAAAGGAAATTTGGGGGGACTGCTAAAGGATAGTGCCAGAATCTAAAAAACAATACTCTTTAGCAGTAAGGTGGAGAATCTTCGAAAGAAACAAGTATATTTATTTATTCATAGTTCTCCTTGCAGCCAGCATATCATACTTATAGCAAGGACATCAGACAGAGACCAGAATAACTAACTAAAATACGACATACATGCACTAAGTGCTATAATAAAGCAAACATGTAACGAAGTGGACTACAGGCAAAGACATAACTAGGACATAATTTTAAGATGTTAAGACATGTAATATACGAAGCAAAAATCAGTTAATAACTTCCTGAGACACTTCATGAATCCTGACACGTTTTTGTCATCTAGAATAAGTCTCTTTAGAGGTTGCAGAGGTGACAGTCTCTTATCAATAACAAATGATCTAGACATATCATGGAAACAAAGATATTAATACAAAGGTGTCCCATTATTGTTAGCTGCGAGATGGAAAATTATACCTGACGGTTTTTTTCTTCTCTTCCCAGAAAACTAGAAAAGACAAACAAGAATTTGTCATTAACTGCATGAGACAACAGCCCAACTTAATATAACTTTCATATGAACGAAGTGCACGCGACAAAGCATCATGAATCCCGTAAGCATAGAGTAAACATAACTTTTCCCTTCTGGACAGAAACTTTTATTCAGCCAAAACAATAATATGAAAAGTAGAGAGAAAGATTCCTCCTACAAGTACAAAACAGAAACATTTTACAATCATATAATTCTTGTCATCTAGAAAGCTACTCACCACGACAATTGGATGAAGAAACAGCCTGACAATATCCTGAGGTTGATAATGGCAATCTTCTTGAAGTTTGTTATCAGGTGGTTTTCGGTTTGCAGCTAGAAATGTAGACTTGGGATTTTGTGGTGGAGAAAAAATATCAGGCATCTCTTTGACCAAAAATTCCATAAATTCAATATCAATATCTACAGTACTTTTGTTCCTTGGTTTATTAGTGGTAAGGTTTGGTCCACATTCTGAACCAGGATCATCCTCTGGAGCTACAATATAGAGGTGTAAGACTGCAAAATCTATAATAACCAATTACCAGTAATGCAAACAAAATGCTATAGTCAATGCTGCACATTACATACCCTTAAACCTCCAATACTTCCAGTGATCAGGACCTGCCCAAGCGTTCTGTTTAGAAGTATTTCCCAATACCTGTAATAAAAACATAGGAACTAGCTCATGGCTACCATCCATATTTGCTCTGTAAAATGCACAGCTGTCATTATCCTATACAAATAAAAGACTTATTTAGAGACCTTACCAAATTTTTAGCAAAACCTTGTGAGAGAAAAGAGAACAGTAAAGGATGAAAGCATGTGACTCATAAGTAACGTATTAATGTGCTGATCAACTATCCAGTAAAAGATATGGCCCAAAAAAAAAAAAATTCCAATAGAAGATTTAATCATGCAAAACATACCTCCAGAAATTCTTGAAAATTAGAATCCAAAGAACTAGACTTCTCATTTACAGCAGCTGTCTCATCTAAATCATCAAGGTTTGCATAATGGTTTCCAAGTATACCACTATCAAAATCAGGATTCTTGGCACTAAATGCATCAGCTCTTTGTTCTGGTGCTTGACTCAAATTATCTGTTGACAATGACCTATGATTGTACTCATCTAATTGCTTAAAAATATCCTCAAGAGTGGGAGATATTTTGGTAGTTGTTGCCATCTTCATCACCATCTGCTCAATTGACTCTATCAGAGGACCATAACTGGAAGGGAGTTAGTGATTATGAAAGAAATTGGGAGAAAAACATAGCTTGTAAAATATATGAAGCAAGATTTTTCCTACAGCATACACCTTCAGCAAAGGAAAGATCAATTTTATCTGAAGTATCAATATGGTTTAAATATGATTTGTATTTCCCTGGTACATCAAATGAATCAAATAGTACACAGCATCCTCCATATATTCCAAGGTTGTTCAGTAAGAGGCCCTTGACTCCACCCTCATCAAGTAATAAAGAGGTCTGATGATACAGAGGATCCACCATAAAGGCCACTGGGATGAAAGATATAAAGTACAAAATGTTACAATAAAATTGGAAAGTGTGAGAAATAATATATATATATATATATAAAATTACCGTCAAACTTCTTAACATTAAGAGGTTCAAAAGAAGATTCCAGAGTGGCCAACGGTGATAGCTGCAACAACCACATTTATAAGTTTTATATAGTAGTCTGAGTGTATGAACAATAAAAATTGAAGTGTGCACCTTCTTGTCCGAGTCTGACCCAGGCTGTGAGTGGCACTTGCCTTTACTGCCATTGATGTGATCAACCTCAGTAGTTATATCTGGTAGAAAAAAGAACATTGAAGAGATTCTAAAACCAAACTTAACAGCTTCAAAAGTAAGTCATAAAGGAAAAGGTTAAAGTTCTGATTAAGAAATTAGAAAACTATACAGTAAGTTGTGACTGCTTGTTACCCTCTTGAGATAGAAGGATTTCCATACAACAGAAATAATCAGGATAGTGCCAGAAAACCAACCAAAGGAACAACCGCCATGTTTAAAAGGAAAGCACGAAATGAATTAATCCTCCCATCCATTTGTTCACAGCAACGGAAAGATTAATAATCCCCAGTTTATATCGACATAAAAGCACTTAATTATAGGATATGCAAATCAGCTAGGAGCATCTGCTAGGACTAGAACATGTTTTGGCTTATCAAGTTAACATCAAATTTTTATCGGAAACAGAAGTGAATTGAATGTCCAAAGAAAGAAAGTCTTTTTGTCCATAAAAAAACTAGGATTATTTAGTTGGGGGGAAGGGATGGGAGGTGCTCCTCTCCCCTTGTTCGGTTTGAAAAAGTGGAGGGGAGGGGAGGGTTGGGGAGATTTTAAAATGTTTAAGGTTTATATTAAGTATTAAGTATATTAATTTAAAATATATAAATTTTGTCCATCTATATTTTCTTAAAATTAATATATTAAGTTATTAACCATGTCATTCCCCTTCATTTTTTGAAAAAAAAATTCAATGTTGTGTGCTCATAAATAATTATTAACTTGTGATTTTTTTCAGATTGTAAAAGTACTTTATAAAATTATTTATCTTGCGTAATACAAAAATTAAGAAATAATCTCCTATGCATATACATGCATATATATATATATATATATATATATAATTGTTATAATTTGGCCACTCACAGATAGCCTGGCTCCGACGCTGATCCGAACGCATTGTCGCCCGAAGCGTTGGAGAAGCATAGGTGTTGGAATGGCTTTGAGAAGCAGGTCAGAAGCCAAAAACTTATCGGAGCCCCGAAACCTGACGGGATGAAGAGTACGTTGTCCACGGAAGAGAGAAAGAATTGACGGGTTCGAAAATTTCAATCTTCTTTGCAGTCTGAACCTCGAAGAGCTTCCACCGGGAGGTAATTACTTTTTTCTTCATTTCTTGCGCAGTCCACGGAGAATTCTCTGCCAAATTAGTGCAAAGTGAAGGAAACGACAAGCCAGACAAGAGTGAAAGAGAAAGCTGAAGCCTGTTTCCTTATCCTTGGCCGATTTCCGTCAAACCAAACCCTAAATCATTACGTCAATTGGAGAAGATGGTAATTTTCACTGCTACGACTACTTCTGAAATATGGAAAGAGATAGAACTTGCGGAGAGCTACCTTGTTTGCTCCATGTTCGAAGGAGCCGCGTCATTAGCTTCATCTGTCTTGAAGCGTTTGCGTGAAAATGGTAGAGGCGTAGCAACAGAAGAAGAAGCTGCTCAAATGTATGATATGTTGGAATCAACTGGTATGGTGCTGGTTCAGTCATTAAAGGAACTCGGCAGGACATCAGAAATTCTGAATCAACTCAAACTATGTTTTATGTCGGTAAAGTTCATTCCTGCACAAGTTCTTCTTACTGGGGTTTGTCTCCAAATTGCGGACGGTTCTCCTTTGGCTGTTCGAGAATTCATTGAAGAGTTTCTTGATGGATGGATTCTTGAGGGTGGACAATACTGCACTGTCGTTGCAGAAGAAAATTTAGAGCGTGAAACCGGATGTAATGTACAAATTGTTCTAGGAATTGATAAGTATGTGGAAATTGTTGAGTTCTATGCTGTCACACTTCTTGCGACAGTTCTAAATGATGTAGATCTTGCTATTTCCTGGGTTGAGAAAGCTTCATTGCCTGAAGGAAAACGACAGGGAATTTTGAGGAGGCTACACTCCTTGCATTCCTCTAAATCTACCGACATGTCCCAGATTTCCCTTTCACAATCTCCAGCAAATAATAACGAAGCTTGTTCTCCAGCAGAATTACAGTCATCTGAAGGCTTGTCCAAAGCCTTGAAAGGCAAACATCCAGAAAATAAAAAGTTTAGATCAAAAGAAGCGATTCTAAAATTGTCTGAACGAATAGAACCATGTTTCTGGTGCTTCCGTTCTATCAATTTGAAGCTTGGCAATGCTCAATTTGTCATATCTAAGGGGAAGATAATGGTCGGTTGTTTGATCTTGCTCGTATGTTATGTTTTCAGGAAGAAGCAAGCTAGTGTAAAAGGGATTATTAAAAGACAATTGGTTGCCGTGAAGAGGGCATTGGTAGATATGTGGCAGCTTGCATTTTCGTATCAGCTAAACCCTTTAGCTGGTGTTCAACCTCTTCCTGCTGTTACACGCGGAGGTCAGTGATGGAACAATTGGTCATTCATTTGGAATTCCTGGATTGAGTTCTTGAATAGCCTTGTGGTTCTTGGAAAACTAATTTTTTTTTTTTTATTTTGACTTCACTTTTACTACTCACCAGCGCCACAATGGAAGCAATTTAGCAAAATGTCTTCTGCTCTGCTTTTCTCACACAGTTGTCTAGATTCTAGAATAGTTCTTAAAATAGTTGACTTGAAGGGTTATATGACTTACGACTATCACAGGTTCTAATTCCCAATATTTGGGGTTATGTACAAAATAAAGTTTAGTCAACTCTACACCATATAAATAAATATTCTATAATTTAATATCTTGATTAGTGCTCATGGAAATAATTTTCAAATCAGAATTTTAAGTAATCTACATTCACAATGAAGGGTAAGAAATGACAGTTAACCCACATTAATGATAGTCACAAAACCAAATAAGTAAGCAAGGGATGAACCTTGTTCATATTCTGCACCAGTTTGCTTCATTCTAGTGAGGACTTTATATGCCTCTGAATGCACAGCGTCCACCCTTGCCGAGTATATTTTCACCCCTGCCTCTAGTGTACAGCTTGCCTGCCAATTCCGTATCAAAGGCAAATCATTACCACCGAAACAAAATCAAATTTTCATTATTCTCCTTGAAAGATTGACCCCAGACCTTTTGGAAGTTAGTCTCTGCATCATTTTCTGCGTCGACTTTGACAACCTCGCTGAGATGATCTATGAGCTTCAGCTGCCAACTGTTCTTCTGAGTTATTTTCTACTAGGGGGCAAAAAGAACACAATGCTATTAGATGAAAATGTTTACGGTTTAAGCTGAAAATTTTCGGCTGATAGTTGTATATGAAAGCAGAGTTTCAGATGCACGCTATTATCAAACTGGCAAAGAAAGGTGTGGTGTCAAAATTATTATAAACTTCAGGTTCGAGGCAATTACTAACTGGTCGAATCATTATTTTCTAAATACTATACTTCCTTTGTTAATTCCTTTTCGATCTCGATCTCTCTGAAACTGAGTTATTTCAAATCTCCATTATTAAACATATTTTGTCGTTTTTCCTTTCAAAAGAGGGGCGAGGGTATATTTTGTCATTTTACTATAGCTTTCAGTCAATTGTTTCCATATCTTACCGTCTAACATCAATCATCAATCAATGTTCGAAAATATAGATATGCATCCCGCAGATCCACACTTTGACTACGCCAACTCAATTTACTGACTTATACATGCACGACAACACAAGGGAATCTTTAAACCAGCCCGTAAGTGAAAATAGTTTCTGATATAGATGATTTGGTCCGAGGTACATGATTCCTTATTTGATTCTCCATTATGATAAACTATGATTTATGCAGTAGCAAGAGAGCTTATGTTTGAGTTTGAACTCATTCATAAGCCTCTCAGCTTACAGTAGAACAAGTCCAAAACCGATGGCCAATCGACTCAACTAACAGCGTCCACCCTCGCCATTATAAATTTATAATTTATGCTTTTTTGTATGGATTACAAAATCAATCATCTACATTCAATGTTTTGATTCGGAACTCATACATTAAGCATCCATTATACGTCATAAGAAATGGATGGCTAAGCTCATCGAATCAATACACAGTAATCAGTAGATTATTATAAATGAAGCTTCAGAGAGTTGCGCCAAATCATGCATGTAAGCGAAAATAATGAAAATTTGCAAGAGCTACGATTATAGAAAGCCGTCTACCAAAGAATCGAATGCTCAATAATGCTTGGTTGCTTGTAATATAATAAAAGAACGGAAAAAAAAACGAAAAGCTTAGGAATGTGTGCTTTCCTGAAACGCTGATACCTTGTTCGGAGGCCCAAAAAAGGCAGTGACATCGAAGGTTCATGTATTTCTACATTGTAATGCATAAGAAAAACATGAAGTACTGACTGCTGAGGCGTGCATTCCAGCGCGAATCCGCGCGGAAATAATAGAGGAAAAATCTGACGCACTTTTTCGTGATCGGCAAGAAAAAGAAATAGAAACCATTGCAAGCTAGAGAAGAGTGAACTGACATTTTCACAGGCAAGCTTTATGCAATTGCTGAAAAACTCAACGATCTGGTCGTAGCGGCGACTTTGCAACGGATGGAAGTGGCACGAGCAGCGCGGGATTGAGCGCGTTCGAATTGGTCGTCGTTGGAGCCCAAGAAGAAGGGAGTCGTCGGTGACTGAAACCTGTTGGCCATTAGAGCTCTTCGATGCCTCGGCGCCGTTGATGGTAAAGGAGTTGCCGCTCCGCCAGTCATGACAATCTCAAGAGACGAGTGAAATTTTGAAACAAGTGAGCGTTGTAGCGTGCCGAGTAAGTATGATCGTCATGACCAGCGGTTCTGCGTTTTTATTTTTAATTATCACAATTGTTAATGTTAATTAAGACATTAAAAGTCAATCGGAAATTTTTAATTTTTTTACAAGTCGGAAAACAGAAAATAGTTAAATTTTAGTTTAGTGTCAAAAGATTCAAATATTACCTCTCGAGAAAAAAGATTCTAATATTAGTAGTAGTACTGGTTATGGGGAAAATATATCATAAATCATTAGTCGTCAAAATTTGTAATGAATTAATGGCTTTAAAATTTAAAACATTTGAAAGTTTCACGCGATCAGGCTCCCCTTTCGTTTGTAAAACATGCTGCCTCCAAATATAACATGGGGTACATTTTCAGACATCTGCTCAGTTCAAAATATAAGATATCATATTACTTTTATAATTTTTTTAAATATCCCTATACTTTATTTATTTTTTTTTGAAAAAAATAATGCATTGAATTTTTAATTATTATTATTAAAATACTTATATAAAATATCTAATAAAAATATAATTTAAAAAATTTTCAAAAATTAAAATATTAATGTTTCATTTAACGTTTTTTTTTTAAATCATGAAATAGATATCGATATAAAATAATTGAGCCCTTTTATTTTTAGAACAATCTACCTTTTATGGTAATTAGCATCTGATGGTTACTTAGTTCTATAGTAACTATCAAACCTCTTGTTTTATTTTTTTTATAGTAATTTTTTAATTATCATATAATAAAAAAATAAAAGATTATAAATATTTTATGATAGAAAAAGGTGGGTATGGTACTTACAAGAAAAATGAGCAGTGAATATAGAATGAATACTAAAAATACTCCATTCATACTACAATACAAGACATTTTATAAAAGTCTTACCTGATTTAAAATATAAAGCATTGATAATTTTTATAATTATTTTTCAACTATACCCCTACTTCATTTATTTTACTTTTTGAAGAAAAATTATGCATTAAAATTTTAAATGTTATTATTAAGACATTTTATATAGAACATTTAATAAGGCTATAATTGGAAAGATGTGAATTGTTATAAAAGATTAAAATTTCAACTAACTTTTTTTAAGAATCATAATATAATTACTAATGCCTTCTATTATGATTCAAAAAAATGATTTATAAAATATTTTTTTACAAAATTATGCATACTAATAAATTTCATTAAAAATACTTTACAATCTCATTGCTTTAAAAAGCAAAAGTATAAATTTTTAAAAATATTATTAA